GTGGTCGGATTGATTGGCTTGGTACTTCGCGCTGGTTCTAAGGTATGCTCGTTTGGTCTCCGGATCTTTCTCGCCGTCGATTAGCTCGGGTCCGTTCCGCCGGCGTTTTGGTGACTTTGGGAGGTGAGTTTCTTGCTCGTCTTCTGTATGTGGTGTGGTGGCTGCCTCCTTGTTTCGCCGATTTATCTCGGTTTGCTTTTGGTAGCGGTCGGCGGGTACCTTACTTCTTCCGACGGGTTGTGGCTGTTTCAATCAGTTGGGGTGGGGTGGCTTGGGCTTGGAACTGACAATTCCCCGGCTCTTTGTTTTGAGTTTTGGGTTGCCGTCCGACTTCCGAATGAGCTGTGGTTGTGGTGATTTCGGGTTGGCTCAGCTCTCGGCTTGAGATGTTTGATGGGTTGGTGAGGCGTGTGGTTTCTGCGGTTGGAGTGAGAGGCGGCTACTAGGAAGGTTTCGAGGCTTGGATCTCCGGGTTCGCTAGGCCTTCGGCAGTGGTGAGCGGGGCTCCTGTGCTTTGGATTTCTCCGGTAGTCGGCTTTGTTCGTTGGCAATCTTGGAGGCTCTGCTGAGGGAGGGATGTCTTTTTTGGTTGTGTTTTGTTGTTTAGTTGTTTAGGGTTGTGTTTTTTGTCTGGGCCGTTGGCCCCTGTAAGCCCGTCTGCGTACGGTTGTTTCCTCGTTTGGGGCCGTTCCACATTACCTCGTTTGGGGTCGTTCCATATCACCCCGCTGGGGTCGTTTTATTTTGTCAGTGTCGCTGGTTCTTGTGTTGGTGTTTGAGTCGTTTTCCTTCTAGCCTTGCTAGCGATTCTAGGCGGACCTCGGTCTAGCCTCCAAGTTTGTATTTTCGCATTGTGCGCTTATCTATAGTACATCTATCGTTCCGACAAAAAAAAAAAAACATTTCTTGGATAGGCTGGACAATTAACTACCACCAAAAAATTCTTCTACCGTGCATTTTTATTTCTAGCCAACGAACATATTCTTAAATAAGCACGCTAGTCATCCATGCTCTTTTATTGGGACGATATTGACAATTCAAGCCATTCATATTGACATTTTAAAGCAACGTGGCTTTGCATACTTTTCGATAATCCATAGAGGATTTTTTTTTAGCCATTCTCATTGCAACAAATAACAATTGTAAGTCTTTCTTTGTCTTGTTTTGTTCCTTCAAGTTGTTTTGTTGCAAGAGAAGGATCAGCTTGTAACTTGTAAAACAAACAAGTCTCAGCCAAGCTGGTCTATTTTTTCCCTTATAGACTCCAATTTCTACTTCATGTCATGTGTGTCAACTGATCCGCTTTCCCCAAAACGACAGAACGACTTGATACCATGTATCAGCTTGAACTTCTCAAGCCAACCTAAAGAAAAGTTGCGCTCAAAAGATTGTTGAGGGTATTATAAATGTTTCATCGTCTCATTTGTCTTCTCCAAAATTAGCTCTCCAGTAATATTTACACGGCCTTGATACTGGAGAAACCACTCATAAATAACCTTCTCCATGTCTGGAAATTTTGTTGGTTTCTGTTGTTTAACATCCCCTCCTTTTTTCTAAGTTAGCCGAAAGATAGTCAGTTGGTCTCTTGATAGTTTGATATTGTACCTTGACTAACTTTCAAATGATATTTTTCATCAACACATTGTTGTAATTCTTTTTTAGCGATTGTGGGTGATCTACTGATCTTTCCTATACTCACATAATGCTTTTCGTATTTGATCGGTCATGATTGATTTTGAACTCCTTCTAGATGAGACGCCATTATTGGATAAGAAACTACACCAGACATATAAAACCGTAAAACATAAATTACAAATTTATAGTTACATAATATTTGTTAACCAAGAAACACATTTTCTAATGTATTTTGTACCTATAAATTTCTTTCCAAATTTAATTAAAACTCTTTCCTAGCAGACCTACTTGCTGACCAAGTACAAACTACATTTGTCAAAATTTATATTTGCTAAATCATGAAAGCACTCTTTAAATTAATAAAATATTAATTTATTGATTAATTAATATCTCTTTAAGTTAATAAAATTTTAAAGTCCCAACATTATTAATTTATAGAGGTTTAATGATAATTTTACTTGAAATTTAAGTAAAGCTTGAGCCGATCTCGAGCAATGAGCATTTAGATTTCAATTGATCTTGAACTCGAGCAATTGTCTTCTTTTCTCGAGTCGATCCCGAGCGTCTCAAAATGAGCTCGAATAAGTAAAAAAAAAAAAGAAAAAACCAATCGTGCTCGATAAGGTCGACTCGGCTCGATTTGTTTGCACCACTACCTACACCAATCAGAGACTTCCAGGCGATAAACTGTGAAACTTTTTATGAGACACGGGAGAGAGTGAGAGAGAGAGAGAGAGAGAGAGAGACTTTGGAGTCTGGACTTTTGAATATAATGGATTTCTCTGAACGAGAGCTAAAAATTTATCCTTTAGGATTAATTTTCCGTTTTTCTATCGTCCTTCTGCTTCCATTTTTCTTATTTTTTCATATCTCTTTTACCCGTTAAGAAATCTTCGATTTTTTGTGATAAAATATTCTTTTCCTATGTTAATCCTCGATAAATTTTAGGGGTTTTGGGTGGTTTCCGGTTACCTTACAGCGTTTGTTTTTTTCTGCAGAACTTTGTTTTCCCTGTTATTACTTTCTTCAAACATCGCCTGAGTTATGATTTTGAAATGTCAATTTCTAAGAGAAAATGATAAATCAATCCGTTGGCCCTCGAGTCTCTGAAGAAGAATCACTGATTAGTGATTAATCTGGAAGTGTTTGTTGATGTAAGTCTCTTCGGGCACATCCGATAAAATTGGAACGATACAGAGAAGATTAGCATGACCCCTGCGCAAGAATGTCATGACACGCATAAATCGACAAATGGTCCAAATTTTTGTTCGTGTAAGTAATGGCATGTTCTTGATGGCTTAATGGGGTTTGCTTTAGGCTTTTTTTTTTTCTGTATCAAAATATTCCACAATAGTAATTTGAAGGGGGCATTTGTCAAATTATTCGATGCCACTTTTGCAGTTCATATCCACAAGCTTTTGACTTTTGTTCCCTCTTTCATTTTCCTTTGCTTTTCTCACCTTGAGTTGGTAGGTGGTTGCTGTTGTGTGTTCCTTTATGATGTTAAGATTGGATTCATAGAATACTTTTTGCCAAAGCTCATTGTTGTTTGCCAGCTTTTTTTGGACCTCCTCTTGCCTTTTAATCTCTTCACTCGTATCATATTGACCTCGTGTTGTTCGATAAAAAGCGATAAGAGAAGGAAAAAAGTAGAAGAGAAAAGGAAACAGAGAGCAAGAGGAGAACAAGCCATGGCACTTTCTTTCACTAGATGGTTATGGTTGGGAGGGAGGGAAAAGGAGAAAGTCTCGAATGGGTCCGTAATGAGTTCGATAAATTCTAAAGGCGATTGGGGGGTAGGATTAAGGGGCGAGCCTGAGAGTTTGAAGTTCTTTCCTGTGAAGAGCCCGGCCAGTAGAGTCAAGAGGAAATGGAAAAGTAGGGAAGAGAGAGGGAGGAGGGTGGATAAAGAGTATGATGTGGTTTTAGTGCCTTCGGACGGTGTTTGTCTATCGGGGTCTGAATCGGAGGACTCGGATTGGTCCATCGGGTGGCTCGAGCCGCATGCCCCCAATTTCCAGAGCGATGATGAGGAAGACGATAGCTTTGCTGTGTTGGTACCTTGCTATAGGCATGACTGTAGAGAAGTAAATGAGGTTGATGAGGAGAACATGGGTAATCCATTCTTGAATGCCGTGAAGAATTTTCCGGTCGGTTATTCGGCTGGTAAGGGGATTTTGATGAAATTGGGTACCTTTGGGATGACTTTGATTTCCCTTGATTGTTTCCTTTAGTTGTTTTGAATTTTGTATATAGATGGAATCATGCAAATTGTTCTGAAATCTGATTGAGATTGAGTTATTAGTTTTCCTTTTCTTTCGTGTGCTATATTTCTTAGTATGCTATAGGTGATCAGGAAAATGATGGTAACTGGTTTATGCTGTTGAAGTTTTATCTTTTACATTTGTATTTGATGATGAGGTGCTTTTGTCACTGATTAACTACGTCATGATTTGCTCTGTGATTTATTTTGCTCTATTTCCTATCTATCCTCGTTTCGCCATTTTCAAACTATGCTTATGTTTGTTCCTGAATTTTAAAACGGTTGTTCCCAGATGGCACAAAGTATATGGAGCAGTGGCTTTCTTCTCTCCAGAATTTTTGAAGTTACCATATCATTCGGCTGAGCTAATTACTGCTACATATATTTGCCATTCTTGGAAAGAATCATCAATTTCTACTTTAGAATCCCCGGACGCATTAGATATTGTGTGATGGGCTGGAATCTTTTTAACCGTGACAGAACGGGCAAGTCGGGTTTATCAGCGTTAGGCTCATGCGGGCCAGTCACTTGAGGAAAACTTTTGATTTATCGTACTATTGATTTGTTCATCGCGTAAATATAAACCCATTATATTTATATGTACATAAAATGTCTTCACTTTTGGATTTTTTTTAGTGTAAATATATGCCCTATTTGAGCTTGAAGGTATGGAGTGATGGCGACAAGGTGTTAAACCCTTACATTTGTGTGTGTTATAATGGTAATTTGATGTCGTCTGCGGTGGTTATAATGCTCCTTTCAGTAGACTTGATTTTCTCTGTTTCAAGAGATGATCATACCTTGTCTTTGTATTCATGTTGCTTGCACAAAGGAAGACACAAAGATACTTACTGAGCTAAATATAAACTATGAAAAATAAAAAATGTTTGTAGCAAATGGGTTCGTATTGTTAGAATATAATTTGTGAGTTGTCTCACATCGTTTATCTATATCTATACTATTATAAAAGAGCCAATGAATCTGTAAAAATATGATATCCCTAAATTAACCTTACTTTGTCATGTTTATAATGTCAATTTTGTAATTTAATACCCCATTCTATACTAATATTTTTAATTAAACACATTCTAGATCTTGGGGTTTATGTATGTTGGTTTGGCCCAATTATCAATGCCGTATATTTATCAAAATTTCTCCCTTTTGAATATTTTGTCACTCCCCATTTTCACTTTTTGTCTGAAACTTTTACATTTATTTAAATAAGATTTACAATGATATTAAAATTTGAACAAACTTTTAAAAATTATCAAAATGTTAAGTTAGTGTACATAAAAAACAAAATTACGACATTACCTTACCAAATACTCATTTTTTTTAAAATTTAGACAAGCAATGTATCTCTGTACAAAATAAATAAATAAATAAATAAATAAATAAATAAAAAACGCGTTCAGTATGATAGATAAGGAAAAAAAATTAATAAAAAATATTATTGCTTCACATGAGCAATTGATTTTCAAGATGAGCGCTCTATAAACAATGATAATTCAAATTTGTATATTAAATATTTTATTTATT